CAGCCCACTTGACACAAGATGAAGAAGGGGAGCAGAGGTAGACTCAGACCAGTATCTAGTGCAAGGAACCTGCCTTCCGAACCAAGTTGAAAGCCTTCGAGGAAGCTGGTGATGGATCACAGTTCAATACTCAGAAGAGAAAATGAGGGACGAAACTACGAAGGACATCTTCACGGCAGCCGTCAAGACAAAATGAGGAATAACGAGCAATATCCCTGAAGATGCTCGTGTGGATGAGCACTAGAACTCTTTAAAAGCCATGTAGAAAGAAACCTGCATAACTGTATTAGGAAGGAAGAAGTAGAAAGAGGATAGGGAATGGACCTCGACGGACACATGGAAGCTGATAGAGGACAGGAGGACGGCGAAGCAGACGATAAACCAGTGCAAGGATGCACAACGAAAACAGTAACTGTATACAACCTATAAAACACCACACTGGACAAAGAGGTCATAAGAGTGCGCGGAAAGACAAAAGACACTTCCAAGACACACTGGCAGGCAAGTGAAGCAGAACAGGCTGCTAGTAGGAGCAACAGAGACCTGACAACACTGCATCAAATAACCAGGTTACTATCTGGGAGGGAAGAGATCAATACACATGAAACTAACAAAAGTTAATGAAGGAAATCTGTTCGCCAAAGAAGAGAAACAAAGGAAACAATGGGCTGACCGCTTCAAAAAGCTTTTGAATCAGCCATCACTGGCACTTCGTCCAGGAATATCACCTGCAGCACAGCCACAGAACTACCACTGAAAACATGCCCACCAACGAAAGTCCAAGTCCTGAGCTCCACAAAGCTACTGAAGTGCGGAAATGCAGCAGAACCAGATGGAATCCAGCTAGAAGCACCTGGAGCAGACGCAGCGACAACAGTGGACATGCTCACTCCGCACCATCACTGCAGGAGGTCTGGAAGGAAGGGAAGTTACCTGCACATTGATCCGAAGAAGGGTTACCTTGTCAAGCTTCCAAAGAAGGGTGACCTAAGTGTCTGCAAGAACTGGCGCGGAACCACGCTTCTCTCCACCCCAAGCAAAACATCAAGCCGCATCATCTTGGGGAGACTAAAGGATGCGCTGGATTCAAAACTACGACCGGAACAGTTTGATGGCTGGATTCAGGAAGTACAAATCATGTGCGGACCGAATTGCAACACTTCGCATCATCATAGAACAGAGTACAGAATGGCAGTCAACTCAACTCAACCTCAAACTCAGCTTCATCGACTCTGGAAAGGCCTTTGACAGCGTCGACCGATAAATAATTTGCCAGGCAGTTGCCTCAACACTACATAATACCACAAACCTTTATCAATATCATTCAGCAACTCTATGAAGACGCCACATGCCAGCCAAGTAATTCACAATAGGAGGCTCTTTGATGCCTTTGAAGTGGAGGAGTAAGACAATGCTGTCTATCTTCACCCATGATATTCCTGATCGTGGTGGACTGGATTATGCAACAAACAGTGAGGAGCGAGAAGAGGGGAATACGCTGGCTAGACCGGGAAAAAGAACTTAGAAGACTTGGATTTCCCTGATGACTTGTGTCTGATGTCGCACAAACTCGAATATCTGCAGGCGAAAACTAACAAGTTGGCAGAAGAGGCAGGGCAGCGAAGACGGGACTTCAAGTGAATATAGAGAAGACAGAGGTGATGAAGACACCCAACCAACATCAACAGCAACAACAAGCTGCAGTCACCATCAATGGAAGAAACTAAAAGGAAGTAGCCTCTTTCTTATCTAGGCAGCACTGTTTCAACTACAGGCAGCACAGACGAAGAGGTGAAAGCATCCAGGATCGGAAAGACAGCAAGACAGGCGTTCATTGGCCCGAAACTGGTGTGGAGATCTACTGCAGTGCACTCAGCACAAAGCGTTAACAACATCCGGATTTTCAACACCGATGTCAAGTCAGTGCTTTTTTATGGCTCAAAGACTTGACGCGTTACGAAAGGGATTTCCAACAAACTACAGACACTCATGAACAACTGCCACCTATGCCCGTTACTGAAGATCAGATGGGTTGCCAGAAGGAATAAACAGCAAGGAGCTCTGGCTGGCAACGAACCATCCAAGAATCTATCGCTCAACAAATATGCACTGGAAGGAAGTGGAGATGGATTGGGCATACACTGAGAAGACCGGCTGAGGACATCACGCTCCGGGCCAGGTACTCGAGTGGAACCCAGATGGGAAACGACGAGTTGGGCGTCCTAGGTGAGGGTGACATGGAGGAGATCGTGTGAGGAAGAAATGAGAGCTTTGGGGGCAGTCGTGGAGTGAGGTTCGAAAGATTGCAGAGAACAGAGTGGACTGGAGGTGTGCTACTGAAGCCCTACGTTCCATCAGAGACCCAAGAGATAAATAATACAATAATAATAATGATGGTGAAACGATAACATCCTTCGATACGACTCCACTCCTGGCTACAAACCCCTCAGACTTAGCAAGAAAGACGGTGGGTATTCTCATGAATAACCACCAAGCCCCCTCTGACCGCATGAAGCTGACGGTGTTTTAAACATTAAAGAGTTGGTCGACCCATTTATCGCCACTCAATAATGATCTGGTGGGAAAATTTAAGAAGAGTTAAAAGGGGAGCCGATGGGATCGCCAGTATCAGAACTGTCTCAATCGCCTGTCATGCTTGTTATCTTGGTTGGTTCAAGCAAAGGAGGATTGTTCCAAGGGAATGGGATTCCCTCACGTGGCTTGAAGTAGTCTTTGCAACTACAGCTGCTCGGGAATTTCGTCGTCAAGCCAAAAATCCAAAATCAACTGTTCCTTCGATGTAGTAACTGGGTTGGCTTACGATCACAGAAATGCACACCCTCGATAGCTCTTGCTGGCGAGACGCACTTTATGAGGTCTTTCCTCAAGTGGTCATAAATTTCGATCACCGAGTCACTCGTATCATGATATCCCAGCGCCGTTATTAGGATGACAGTCAGTAACTAGGTTTGGCGTTGTCCATAATGGGTGAATGCATCCTGTAACAAATTTATCCTCAACATGGACGAACCATGTGAATAATCTATTCACCCATTAGGGACGAAGCCATTAGATAACGGCCACCTGAGCCAGGCAGTCTTGGTTTTTCAGCCACCATGAAATGGGAAGTCATTACAAAAGTATGAGAAAAAGTTGAACGATAAATACAAAATTTAGGCGGATGAAAGAGAAACAGAAACCTTCAGTGATAAAACCCAACTCACTGAAATGCAAAACAAGAAGCACTAAACACGTGATAGTGACCCACCAAATGAAGGATTGTGGATGCGCTGTAATTATCTAAGGTGCAAACTATCTTCCATATTTTGAAGCATGCTAGTGAAAATCTAATCAGCACGCCATCCAACTCGCAAGTAATAATAGATACCGATCAAATGACTTAGTTAATTAGAAGTACACTCGAGAGAGCAATATGATTGTCGGCAAAGATTTCGCAGTTGTTTATTTTTTCGGCGGGGGGATCTAGCAAATTGTCTAGCTCGAACTATTTGAGCTATGGAATCTGGGCTTATTAATGTAAACCAGTGCCGTGGAAGGGTGAAATGGCTTTTGAACCTGACTGGACGCACACTCACTAAGACGACTAAGAGACTTCGGGTATCCGAGTGTAACATAGCCGGCAATTTAGTTACACCTAATGACTTTAATATTTATGAATATATTTTACTGTCAGGCGCATTTCTGCCTCTGGAAGGTGCATTCCCGTCACATTCTTTGTCCGCTGTAATTTGCTGACAGTTTGCTTCTTCCAATAGCTGCAGAATTTGATGCAATGATAGTATACATTACTGAACTTAATACTAGCTCTTACCCTCGAGAAGGTACAACTGTACCTGAATAAAACTCGGCGAAGTATCTTGATGTTGTTTCTTTCGAAATACTACAGTTTTCACCAGATTCTGGTCTAACAGCCACAGTTCTCTTAGCTCTCTGTGTGCAGTATTAGGCAGTGGAACCTCAGATTTGTTTCAGGCACTCCACTTGTCTCGCCTTTTGCAAAAAATATATCCGTTCCGGGAAACGAAATGATACAAGAAAGTCTGAAAAAACCGTTGTACATCTCCTAGTCTTTACCATCAAAATATGAGTGGGTTAGAGGGATTATGATGAAATGTCGAATCAATGAAAACCCGATGCATCCAAATAAATATCCCCGAGATTTCAGTTGGAAACCGTTTCTGAAGAGCCAGCAGCGATAACAGAACCTGAACGCTCATGAACCAAAATCCGTGTGAATTGTTTTGCAGTTTGGATCTGAAAATTATAAATTCCCTCCGATCAGAGGTCTTGATTTCTCTCTCAAATAAACTTTAAAGGAGATGGAACATCTTTTTGGTTTATAGTGGTACACTGGGTGGGTACTTCATCTGCGAATCTTAACTCCGGTTGTCACTAACTACGAATGACAGCAGTCATTTTAATAAATTAATTCCGTCAACATTAGATCACATATGATCAGGGAAAAATTCTCAGGACTGTTCACAAGTAGAGCATTTTTGGATACCACAGTCGTGGAGTCTAAGGAACTTCCAGCTTGCTTTTCGCACTGTGAGAAATATAAGCTGTGATATGTACAGCAGAAGAAAAACATTATCATAAACAAGAATTACCGTAATTTTAACGACAAGCTGGCGGCTTATTATTTTTCCAATTGCGATGTATTTTTCTACTTGTTTATATTAGTTATAATAAAAGCCGGTCGTTCAAGGCATGATAATAATGTCGAAATTCGATGGATTTTACTTATTCGATGGACTATGAGTTGTCAGGCCTTCTCACGAAACATTGGGCCAGCTCTTATTGCTTGGTTTCTTCTTATATTTCTTACTGGTTTGTACTTGGTGTTTATGTAAGTTTTCTGAATCTATGACTATTCTCGCAGTTGCTGGGATTTCAGCAAAGAAACGAGTTATGCATTTACAGCCGGCCATTCGTTGCTTTTCTTCTTTGTGATTTCTGCATTTGGTAGGGCAACATTTATGGACCCAGGTTACTATGCAATGGGTATGTCAGCAATATGCCGTAATAACAAACAAATAGGTGTTCCTGGTGAGAAGATGACTACGATGGAGAAGGGTTCTCCACGTACTGTAATGTATAAATCTGTAGATATAAACGGAATCTCCACTCGTTTGAAGTGGTGTGTAACTTGTGAGTTTTACAGGCCTCCGCGATGCTCACACTGTTCAATTTGCAAACACTGTATCGACGTAAGTTAATTGTTTGCTTTCCAAAGCACCTTGTAGACATTTGATCATCACTGCCCTTGGTTGAACAACTGTATCGGCAGAAGGAACTATCGGTATTTCTTCTCGTTCCTCCTTTCACTAACTCTGCATATGATCATTGTTTTCGGAGTGTCGGTGACGTATGTGCTGATGCGCACGAATCAGCTATCTCACTACAAAGTCATTATTGCGTATCCTTTAAAGTTCATTTTTTAAAATTTTGAACAAAATCCACTTGACATTCCTTGACTTAACTTTTAGTATTGGTGTGTTAATTTTGGTAGGACTCCTCCTCCTTCCCGTACTGGTTTAACAGGATTCCACATTTTTCTTGTCAGCAAGGGACGTACTACAAATGAACAAGTAAGTATTTATCGACTGGTCGAACTGTTAGATGTCTGAAATTTCCAATGAGATTTTCACACGAATTTGCAACCACTTCTAAACGTATTGCAGATCGAAGTTTGACTCACGTCCAGTCGTTTCTAATTTTTCTTCAGTTTGCATTTATATGCAAGTTAAAAATACTTTTTAGAAGATGCCCGTCGAATTAATGTAAAAATAGTACAGTGAGTAAAGTTAGTGGACGTTTTTCAGGTATTGTGGTAATCTGACTTCTCATGCTCTGTGAACTATTCGTTTTCCAACCAAGGAATAATTTCAGTGTACCTAGATCATGTTTTCTTACCAGTCTAACTAACTGTATTTCAAACTAATTGTTATCTTCCAAGTCGCTAGCTTTAATACTGAGCTAATCAAGACAAGAATTATCACAGCTTAATTTACTTAGTGTGATGCGTACCATGTGGTTTTTATCGTTAACTTCAAGCAACGACACTGGTAGGTCTGTCCAAACTGTTATGATCTACTGGATGAACAAGTCTGAATTAAGTCCGCAGCTGAAGTTCAGTCAGTAAAGTACAAATGCACTGAACTGAATCTAACCTATTTTTCTGTCACTAGCGATGATACCTGGCTACCTAACTGTGCTAACTAATCTTGTGGACTATTCGCTGAATCTCTGTCTGAATATCAAATGCTTAAGGCACTGCCCTACAGCTGCACCACCATCTTACTGAACTTACGTAAAATCTAGTGCACCTGACCGTTTTCATTTTCACCATTCAAACATGAAGAATATTCGGATCAATAAAGAGGAAATATTAGCTTTAAGAAAAGAAAAAAACATTGTGCATATTATCTTAAGCACCTCACAGTGCACCGTGATTTTGCATCTCCTAGTTTGGTGATCACTTTGCTAAATGATCAGCGGAATTCGGTCGACGCTCAGGACTTGACAGTGTAAAATTGGTTACCTCCGAGTGACCAAATATTGCATATAATCCAGTTCTTCAGAAGATCAATTACGACCCGAATAGCTCAGGGGTAACGTCTTTGACTGCATCACTGGATGGCGTGAATTCGAATCCCTGAGAAGACAGCTCCTTTAAAGTTGTTAATACACTTTACTAATGGGTGCCTACATGTACAAAGTTTACGTCCAGAGCTTTCTGCACACAGGCTAAATAAGGTAGAACCTCTCACAGAAGTGCATTCGCCCAGACTTCACAGTAGCACGGAAGGAACAATAGATAGGAAAGACTGTTTTCAAAGTGGACAAAAGCGTGTGGGAAGGGAACAATTTGAAGACAGGTTACTGAAAATATCCAAGCTTTAGAGGACTTCAAAGTGAATGTATCTGCACCACTGTAACCAATTATCAACCGTCGCCAAAACTCCTTAACCACCGATTCCTATCGTCTTGGGGCCCCGGGCCAAGTAGTCTATACCCCCCCCCACACCGTTCAAACCAACAGTGAGGGACTTCATGGACTGGTGCTACGTCCTGATCTAACTAGCTTGAATTCTCTTCCAGCCAACTCCAACTTGCCCCAGCGTGGCACATCGACATATGAGGTGGATAGGTATGTGCAACACATCGAAGCCACCTCAGTTGACTAAGGTTCACAACCTCACCAATCGACTTGACGATCTTGCCTGGCACCCTTCGTCTGACCTCAAAATTACTCCCACAGTGATTTCACCACATGCGAGTAGTGCTACCGAAGATACTTGCGATCAAAACCTTGTAACCGCTTCATGTCTTTGCTTTCAACAGCCGTATAACAGGACAGAATGGACTGCGGCGCAGTATACTCTTCCTTTGACAGACCAGGACAGTCAGCGCTAAAAATAACGCAGTTTTGTAAACGCCAAACTGGCCTTCTGTGTCTAAGCTGAGATTTCGTCAACAACCAGCTCATTCAAGTTGATGCAACTCTCCAAGTAAGAGAAGTCATCGACGTCTTCTACCGCTTCACGTACTATTCTTAGATTAGAAGTTAGTTCAAATTACTGTTGAAGCATCCTACTCTTGGCAGATGAAAAACGCATTCAAAACATTCTCAGATTTCTGTTTAGGGCATTCAGAAGAGTCTGGATTTCAACAGCATCTTTATCCAAAAGGAAAGTGTCATCTGCGTGCTCCAAGTCAACCAGATACCCTCCACAGAGTAGGTCAGTCCTTGCAAAGTCTGAGCTGATCAGGGTTATGTCTCTTAATATACCTATAAGGAAGTTAAACGGGAACGGCAATAGCGAGTATTTCTGGTGAACACCACTAGTTGTCCTTACATCAGAAGAAAACTTCTTAGGCCGTTATACAGCTGGATGGTTTCGAGTAGAGAGCTTTGATTAGCATTACATTATCTTTCGGTACTCTCATTGCAGCTAGACAACACTTATCACGTAACAGAGTCTAATGCTGCCTTCAGCTCAAGAAATATGGCGTGCCCACCCGCAGTAAGTATGCCTGTGTTCCATTACCTATTCAAGAATGAAGTTTTGGTCTATGCATCCTCATTTGTGTTTTCCCAAGATTTCTGTCCTTCACTTCCAGACTACAGTGTTGATCAGACGTATTCTCATATGGGTGTCACAAGAAGATTTATCCCAATACTTTTAGAATAGAAGGATCAGTAATATTGACCAGTATGATGGAATTGCCTCTGATTCCTATTCACTAGGTACTGATTTTTTAATACTCTACTTAGTAGGTCCCTACTTTTACCCTTAGAAACTTCTGGTAGCAAGTTATCAGGTCCTGCTACTCATCATCGTTTCAATGTTGAAACAGTCGTCTCAGGTTTGGACTGGATATTGGGCAACTAAATCGTAACTGCGGACCGGTTGGACTGCTGTTCAGTGTTATACTCACCGTTTTATTCACCTGTCGTGAGAGCTTACAAAAGACCGATCGTTTTCAGTGGTGGTATAAAGCCTTATCGGTTTTTAAAACAAAATGCTTTATTACAACCAAGTGTGGATCGATTAAAGGTCACCATAGAAAGATACACAACGTACCACAGAGTGTTAACATGTGAAGTGGGAAATTTTGAGTCATATTTTAGTATATATAGGTGGAAAAAATGAAACCACCTAAGTCACCCGAGTTGATGTGCGTTCACAGAAAAAGTAATTTTATTGGTCTACTGACGAACTAGTTATTTACCATTTATACACATTCTTTCAGTAACTCAGCACACCGTAACAAGACCACGTCTGTTATTGTATAGAGCCTTCAGTAGTATGATATCCTTACCAAGCACCCCTTGGAGCGGGAGACACTACCACAGGACATCTTGATCGATGGAGGTGAACGTACCCGGAAAATACGATTAGTGTGCTTGTGCTCCAAGATCTGTCGGATAATGATGATCTAGTCGATGCACCTACGCCAACGCTGAAGCCTACGTGGTTTTCTGGGGTTCTGCTTTTCTTGAGCGTCCAGAATCTTCGATATGTTTCATCAGATTGGTTCTCCTGTGTTTAGCAAAAAGGATTATCCTTTGTTGAAGACTTGGATAGTCAGCGATGAAGACTAGTCCGAGTGGATCGAATTCGATTCCCATACCCCAGGTGGCATATCAGTTTGTCTGGCAGTAAACTTTGAATTGCTGTTCTTGAATATTTCCGTGGCAGTCTCATCGCGACCTGCTGTCCTTCCTTGTTTCAGGTTACTTACAGCCTCAGCTATTGCTCTATCTGTGTTCCATTCAGAATGTGACTGGATACAGGTGATCAGAGTAGCTAAAGGTCTGTCTATCTATATTTCGCTTCTACAGTCTCACTAACTCAACGTTTCCATGTCTTTTTCATCTGAGTAACTCCACTGGTTCCTATCACGGTTGCCTTTGCCATTGCTATAGCATTCAGTGCCCGCGGCCACTGCATAAATTTCATGTCAGTCTATTGTTAAGTTGTGTTTACTCACTGTGCTCGTAGTTTGAAGAAATGCGTTTGTATGTATCCATTAACTCAAATGAAGCAATTGAGATCCGTAGACTGTTTGTGACCTTTTTCTCAGGTAATGTGCTTTTACAGTAGACAGAAGATAACACCGGGCTTCGGTATGAAATATGGTGTCCCGTTTCGATAACTATGTAGTCAGTTCTTCCCTGAACGTTGTCCTAGCATCCTCGTTATCGAGTTGCACTCAGAACTGTCTTTCACTTACGGTATTCCTGTATGCGTTAAGACTAACTTTTCACATGTGTATTTCATTAGGAGCCATCCCACTCGGTAAAAATTAATGGCGATATGGTCTATTTGTATCCACTATTAAGTTGTCAAAGTGGACAGTCTTCATTTCAGTCAGTGCCTCGTTTTATGTTTGAATTTCGTGCACACTAGCCTTATATAGTTGGGTACAATTGTAGCAAACGATCGCTGTCATCAGTTTACTGACTTGGAATTCCGGAAATGTTATCGAATTACTCTTCTGTCCGCACCTTCCTAACGGCGCGTCAAATTTATCCACTGCGATAACCGGATCTTGAGGTATAGATATTTTTAGATAGAACTCATGTTTCACTTCCTTTGAATTTCATTTAGTGGGTGCTTATATCATTATCCCCGTAGCCCTTACAGGATCATCTGCACATATGACTGTTAAGTGGCATCCATTTAAGCTATTTGTTTTCTGCCTTTGGACCAAGTGCTATACCCTACACTTGCAAGACTGTTAATATTAACCGAGGAGTCTCTTTGTATTACAAGGATGAGTTGCACTGATAATCTTAAGCGGATGAGACAGGTACGTAATGACACGTCGATCCTGTATGCATTTATCAAAAACACGGCACACACTTATGTCTCGTAATGCCAAAGTTGTAGCTAGCTCGAAGGTTACTGACATTTAAAACCAGTGTAGGAGCTAAAGACAAAGCAGAATTATGTACGGAGAGTTGTAAAGAAAATTTAGAAAGCAGAGTTAGAGGGGTCCTTGTGGCTTTAAAGAACTTGTGCACTGGCGGAGATATGCGCGCACTTAACACTTCCCAACTGCTCACATTGTGAAAGATCACCTCCACCGATTTGAAAAATTGGAATATTAAGTTTAGCTTTACTGATTTGGCTTCATTACAAAATCGAAATCTAGTTAGTTATCTCGTGCACATTCGTGCAGTATGCAATAAGCCACATGTAGTACGTGAAGGTTAATGAAACTACCTGGTTGCCCAAACCTCACTGCGGTGTCCAAGGTACATCTCCTTGATACCGATGACAACGTTTTTGGAGGTTTTCGACTCATATTTGATTAGATTGGGTATATGCTTAAAATAGCTCTACCGTGGTTGTTGGAAGTCCATGGGGTAAGACAGGCATTTTTTTATTCTTCAGAGTGACCTTTTCTATTCCTCACCTCCAAATTGAAAAAGCAGCATCAGCTTTGAATTTCGGTCATTCTCGGGAAACATGTTCCCATTGTTACACCTAGTACAACTAGTTAGTTACACAACTTAACCATCGGAAGCCAAATATAGCGTTAGTTTTTGTATTTTAGCTGATAGTGGATTAGTGTAACAGTCCTAGCTCCTAACAAAATAAAAAACGTGAATGAATGGAGAGTATAGTTCTTTGTAGGAAAACACTGCTCAGTCTAACTTTTTTACTGAATCCAATTCCCTAACACTACATTAATACCTTGCAGTATCCTGATCCCAGCTATTAGGCTTTCTAATCACTTCATTCGAATATGGACTAAGAAGCTGAGACACGAAGCTGTTACCATCTCTATTGATTGTTATTACTCATGAATAGACATTTAATTGTAGTCTTTCCGTAGATCATATTTTGATAAAATCATGATATATTTCCTGTGACTTATATTCTCGTTTGTAGTTGTTGTTTCTCTGACTTTATATTGTTGCTTTTTCTTTGCATCTCTGTGGTATTGATGTTATTAGAGGTTTTTCCTACATTTTTGAAGGTAACTTCAAAATATGATCTTGATATGAACCCTTATGATCAAGGCCTTTGCAAGAACTGGTTGTACGTCTTTTGTACCTCTCAACCACCTATGTAAGTTCATTTTTCCATACTTCACTCACCTTCTTCATTCAGATTGAATCGGTCAAATGTAGTTAAAGTGGATATGTGGGGAATATCTTACAATGGCAAATCCATTCACCACCAAACATCAAATTTGCTGTTTTCACCCAACAATTCTGAACTTCCTAATATTTGTGTAAGTTTATGTACCTTGTTTCAATATCGTGTGGATGAGATTTATCTCTTACATTCCCTCCATCTCTTGGTTTCTGTAATGCACAACGCACACTATAAAACATGTCTCCATCAGTATGTGACCTGTTTCTCATATGCTTTAGTCCCCAGATGTATTCGTGATCAGAAATATCCTATCTGCTCTGTAGACTTTAAGTACTCGTGCTTCGAATAATATGTTTTTGAGACACTAGTGTCTAGAATTTGTACTTTGTATTTGCATTTTCCTGACTAGATGAACTGTTTTCAAACACTTTTAGTAATTACATTGTAATTCCCTAATATTTGAGAGGACGCAAAGTGGCTATTTTGTCTAATCTCCCATCAAGCATCTCGAGGAATGCAACCAGTCAGCGTACACTTTCCTGCATAGCCTATAACGTACTACAAAATGCAAAATAACTAGCCGTTATGACGCTCATTCACATTCTGAATATGTGTGCGTTATGTTTATTTTGCATTTCGGTGATCCATGAAATCACCTTCCGGCAGACTGAAACGTTGATAGTAAAACATGGTGTTTTCAGCCCTACCTATTCTTTGTTAAGAGGCTGTCTGGTCTGAGCCAGAAATATCCAATGGCTATGTTTAGTCATCGTTGTCTCTATAGAAGTGCTTGTACATAATGACTACATGTAGGTAGTTGTGCTGTATACTGACTTCTGCTTAGGTGTAGTCGAAATTGTTATTGAATTAGACTTGTTTTATAACTGATCTCGACTACTCGAATATATTCAATACAGTTTTCTAACAGATTTAATGCCATTCATCATTTGAAGGTGCTGGGGAACGATAAGGCGTTTTGGCAGGTTAGCATCTACTATTGCATTCCAAACCTGGAGACTACGTTAACCATTGCCGTTAAAAGCAACTCAGAGATGAAGTTCCTAGCGACCATACTTCAGAATTCTTATACACTTGACCAGTGATATCGAAATCCACGCAGTCGCCTTGTGCACATTCATGGAGTAGACAAGGAGCCACACCTATTGTGTGAGGGATGATACCACCTGGCTGCCCAAACAATAGGTGGGGTGGCGCTCGAACCCACAGCCCATTGGTTGGCCGGCCACCTAAACCAATGAGCAGCAACTCCGGGACCAGTGATATACGTCTTAGCAAATAAAATCCCAGCGTGTGCATATCGTATGCTGCCTTTCTGTTTGCTCTTAATCTTAGCAATTTCGTTATTGTGTTTGTTACCATTCGAAGTTGAAACATTTTTGTTTCGGATGACAAATAATAAGTATGAGCACAGCTTTGTTCATTTTTGATGTAAAACGTGAAAGTACTTAGTAGATCCAGTTACTACTGTTATATCAATTCAATAAAAATAGCATGGTGTACTTTGAAAGTCTCCAGATTTTACTCTTACTTTAATGACGACTTATTTTATTATCCTCTTGAAATTAGTAGTGTATGCAGTCCGACGAAAGGTTATAAAAGTGTTTTTTAAATTGTTGTTATAACAACATGTTAGCATATAATGGTGACTGTTTTCTTTTTGAAATATTGAGACGGCTGAGGGTGGGGATTTTCTGGATCCGTAGTTTATATGGTCACAATTGGTCTTAGTGATGTAAATGTATTCATACCCCTTTTCCATTTGTCTTCGATTTCTGTCCACATCGTTGTTTTTGTCGGTATGTCTTCCTTTTGACTTCCACTCTCTTATGTGAAATTTTATAATCTGGACTAACCTGCAACTATGGGAGTTCATATATTGTCAATATTTGTCCATCTTCAAATCGGGACACGAAGACGATGAAGAGTGTATGGTTCGGCTCCCCATCTCCAGAAAAATCAATGAAATAACTCACCTTAGTTATCATAAATAACCGTTATTATGAAAATACATAGTTGATTACTTAGCTCGTGATTACAGATCTGGAATGGCCAAATTCAGATTCGCTGACGACCGCAATTTTATAAGCAACTTAAAGTAGAAATATTTGGCTCCAAATCTCAAGTGTACGTTTATAAATATACAAAATTGTATGATAAGACGAAAGAAACTGTCACCTGTAAACCAGAGACTTAGCAAAATGATATAACTGTGAATTTCACACTGAAAGGATAACTTGTGAATTAAGAGTTCGACGGCCGCTCCTATTAAGGAGTATAAGAGTGGGTTTCTGTTGTTTAGGACAATAGTTTTACAGTGTACTCAAGAATAATTCCCTAGTCGACTTGGACATTACATCTTTCCTTAGGCTGTGATGCCAGATTACAGTGCTAGTAATTGCTGTTTCCATTGATAGAAAATTCTGTCTTTTCATTCCCGCCTTGAATGATACACTAGATGCGTTATTGTTTGTTCATATTTAGGGTGAATCAATGCTGTTATTACCTCATTCATTTTAAACTCATCACAATTTTCTGTCACTTCTGACTACTTCCATATTTCTTTGTCTTGCATCCTGGTACATTATCGCTGGATTTGCTGATAAGTAGTGTGGAAACTTGGATTGTTAAACAGCAATTCCGAAGTCCTTTGTATATATGACTCCAAAACCTATGAGAGTTCTCTGATTATCGTTTATGTCCTACAGTTTTAAATTTTTGTAATTCAATGTGTTTCCTATCTTTGTAGAAGCCATCTGATGATGCGATTAATGGTGTTCAACAAAAAGGAGCTATTTGCGAAAAGATGGATATCAGGAATATAGTTGATCATACTTCTGAACACCAAAATGCTACTGAATTGATTCCCAGTGTTCGTCATGATTCAGACAGTTCTGTTGTACCCAATTCAAATAGTAAAGGTTTGTCTGTAAACGAAACTTCGAATGCTCCTATAGCACTTACTAATCAAGTAGTTGTATCTCGATCTCAGTCTCCCGTGTGTGGAAGAAACGGCGAAGTTAAAGCGAATTCAAGTTTTTCTTCAGGAGGAATTAAATCAAAATCTGTGAGTAACAAGGATCAAGGTAAAAGTTTACCGTCTGAAACAGCCGCAACGAAGCATATATCAAATTTAAACAGTGCGAGTGTTGATTCTGTTTCTGCTGTTCCAAAGGTTACTAATATTCAAAAGGAACTTCTATCTAGTAGAGACCATTTTCCGACGGTGGGTGATCATTCAACTCCCTTGTTAGGATCTCAAGGGAATCCGGATAACAATTTAGTTCGGGGACGTCAGTTGCAAAAATTCACTTCAAATCATCAAAATAGGCCAAGCAATTCACTTCAACGTAAACAGCGAGAACATTGTATTGCTACTGGAATCGGCAGAAGCTCTTCACGTGATTTCGTTCCTGCTTGTTCTAATGAGGCTTCGTGTCCGCATACCTCTTCTACTTCGATGATGAATTTGCGTGACCGTGTAGTGCTACCGGTGAATACATATCCTGTAGCAGTTTCTCAACCACGTAATGTTGTCGCCGAACAGTATGGTGCTGCTCAGGATTTAAAAGTTGCGCCATCTTCACCTAAATCTCGTTCTCCCCTAACTCTTCGTGGTATGCATTATGGCATTTCCGGAACACATACTTCTAACCTACAGCCCATAAACCATCCACGTAGCAGTATATCGAAAGGTATGATAAAACCAGCGAAATCTGAGCAACACCGTCATGGGGTCATGCATCAGGCACATTCTCGAAATCCTGTAGCCCAAGGAAATCAAAGGCACTTGCTAACTCACCATAGTGCGGCTACTCATCAACCATTTCCACAGTCGCTTCACGGTCTTCCACCTCCTTTACCACCCCATGGCTCTCAATCTAGTGTCCCTCATATTCGTCCAATGTGGTCTCCAGTGGTACCTCCTCATGGTCTTTCTGTATCAACACCATATTTTTTGTCGTGTGATGCACCCGGTCACTTTACTTCTGATGCATCCAATTCCTACCTACATTTAGTCAGACCACCGTATTTTGGTAATTCTGATGCCGGTTTAGTTGATGCGTCTCAATTTTTTACAGGTAATACACGTCCTCATGACCCATCAGTTTGTAAGTATATTCCCCAAGCATTTTCTCCAACTTATGGTCCTTCAGCTATGACACAGACTGCATCTCTTCCAACTCCACCATTACCTCCACATAATCGGACTGCTAAAAATAACGCATCAAACAATCGGATGCAACCAACTGGTTCTAAAAACTCGAATAATTTGATTGCAAAATGGCAACAGGATGGTGAATCTAATTCTCCTGATGGAACTTTTGAAATCTCTGTTTGAAATATTTCGCTAATGGGATCTTCCCGTGTTAAATTACCTGAGTTCTTTCATTTTCCTCAGTTTTTTTCTTTGGTCTTTCATAATATCTTTCACGTACACAGATTTTTATGTCTGAAAGAAGAAAAAAGTTGTTTTTTTCAGGTCAACCTATTGTATAGACGGTTTGTAATTATACAGTTACTTGCTCTCATTGGGAAAAGTATTGATGTTATTATTTATTGAAAAAAAAACACATTCAACTAAAGCTTCTCAATTGTTGTTCACTGAACCTTGATATGTGCAATAATCCAGTCTTAGTTGCTTCCAAACCTATTTTAAAACCCACCTACAATGTATTATCTTTTATTTCTTTTACGTTTAAAAAAAAACTTATACATACAACGAATTCTAACTGATATAGATATTTTCAATATAAAATAGGAATTAAAAACAGACAGTCATTTGGTAATTATCATATTTTGTTCATTCACTTCCTGTACAAAACAGATGTGCGATATGAGTGTATGGTTCAAACCACAGAAATTAGTTTGTATTCAACCATACACTGGATATTCGTTATTATTATTATTATTATTTGTTGAAAAAATTGATTTCACTACTGAAATTAATGTACTCATTCTGTTTTCAACTTAATTTTTGTTTCTTTTCTAAAATAAAAAGCTACCTTCATTTCGATTTTATACATCTTCCCGTCTTCTTCACTATTAATATCATCCAATATGGATTTTATTTAAGCCTGCAATTCATTATGCCGTACATTTTAACACATGATACATACTTCTCTAAAAATAAACTGGAGATGAAGTATTTATTCTTTTTTTTGCTTGTCGTTTGTAGGCCAAGTTCGCTGTCATTATTTTGCTTTGTTGATTTGTGACTGGTCAGATCGGATAGGTATATATATATATATATATATATATATATATATATATATATATATATATATATATATATATATATATATATATGTCTGTGCGATCACGTTTACCCGATGATATATTTATATGGTGGTATTGCTTAATACCCAAGGATGTAGTTGCACTGTGTGTTGTCTGCTGATTCCTTTTTGTCTTCCCCATTTGTACCAGATAATTATAGGTTTTAATGTAAAATATATTCTTTGTGTATATAGACAAGTATACATATTTACTTATGAATATATTAAACTCAATGATTACCGGAGGAGTTCTGTATTGCCTTATTACTGTGTATTGTTACTCTGATATTGTATACATTTTATCTGTTTTACTTGGCAAATGAAAGTATATTTAAGTAAAGTATATGCTCTTTTGTTTTGTCTGTTTGTCTCTATGAAATCTCAGTCATTGAGGTATTTTACTGATATGGCAGTTTTCTGATTGTTTGAGATACTATTTTAACTTTTATATTTTCATATCATATTCCTGGTTGATTTTACTCCTACGGAAATCATTTAGTTGATGTTTATCTATTTGATGAAATCAGTATGAGGATTTAATTCACCGCTCTTCATGATATTTTAATGCCTCTGTCGTTGGTGATCGTCATAAAAAAATGTTTCCTCTTCTTCTTTGTATTTTCCATTCAATTGTAGAATGGTTTCTCAGTTGTGTAATACGTCTAGCGATGATTGTCGAATGACTCAACTGAATGATAAGGTTGTGTTTCACATGGCTTGTTTGCAAAATGTTTGCATTTCTGATTTAATATTTCAGGGTAAACGGTACAGTATGATAAGTTTTTAGTCCCCTAAAATCGATATTATTTTAAAAGCACAAGTCATACCAAAGCGTAGAGTGAGTCGCTTCTTTGTAGTTGTTATGTAAAACAAAAACTCTATCTTTATCTTTGCCAGCGATGTAGAATATCCTTCCTATATTTAACACTAACATTTATATGCTCAGTTTTGTCGATATCCTAATTATTTATAAAGACGCATTCATATTACTTAAACATTTTGTATCTTATCCTTCGAATGTTCAGTGTTGTGTAGACTTGTTAAAGATTTTCTCGCTAGAATGATGTATAAATCGAGATCTGCGACGTGTAACTAAGTATTTAGATTTCGGAACTATACTTCACTAAGTTAATAAATGTCTCCAATTAGGTTTACATAAATATTTTGTTATATGGATTATTTCCCTGCATAAATATAAAATTAGATGTTTGTTTATAGATCAGTGACCTTTTCACTGCAGTTAAAATAATAATAATGATAAAACTTTTTTAACATAGGATTGAAGAATAATTCTAAGAATGGCATCAAGTTTATATGATGATTTAGATGTATTGGATGGGACACCACTTGATAACTTAACATCAAATGATTTGTCTGATAAGTCAGGAAATGTACCACTAGTTGGTCTACGTGTCACTGCTAACTGGTCTGAATCTGATCAGCATCAAGTCAATTTGGTGGAAATATAGTTTCTGTCAACTCAAATTCTAGGTAAGTTATGCATATTTACATAATATTTTGAAAAAAAACCTACGTATATTTTGTCAACTTTTGCCAAAAATAAAATAAAATAAATTGATTTCGTTCTGCATTTTATTTTCTTTAGAAAAATACATGATTGAATGAAATCAATGTACATTTCGTGTACAACCACCATACATTGTGTAGGCATATGAAATATTCTTTCTTTGCATACCAGTTAATGAAATTTTACCCTTTAATTATTTATATAAAATAAAGAGAATAGAAACATATCTTTATAGGAAATCAATGGAGAACCTCTTTGAAACTACCCCATCAGAGTGTTATCATTTCCTATTTATCATTAATAATTAGTAAAATGTAACTAACTATCACTGTTCATTTTTATGTTATTTTTTTTTAGTCTAATTGATTCGAAAGTTACCTTTCTCCTTGTCTGTATCATATTCTCATTATTAATGTAAAATTGAAAATGAATGTCAATGATAACTTGTCGTACTTCCCATTCTTCACTTAGCATTTTTATATATTTGCATTTACTGTTGTCAGATTATTAGTTTTTTCCATTACTAACTACTCTGTTTTTGTCTGATTATTATATTATTATTATTATTATTATCATTAAGAAAATATCTACAGTGTTCTAAATGAGATGGCAATTTCCTTGGTGTTGTCTAAACGATAATATTTGATGATAATATGAGTAGCATTTCAACAGGGAGCGGAAACATCGTTAAATTACTAGGGATTATTTCAAGTTGGTATTCATCGTAGACTGTTATCAGTTGGAGGAACAATGGAAACCTGGGAGCACTGGACAGCTGTTTTGTCTACGATGAATATCAACTTAGAACATTTTTAAATCCTCACATCGCCTTCAAAATTCAATTTACTAGGAATTAACAAAAGCACAAGAGAAGAACATAGTATGAATTATATTTTTTAGCTAATACTTGTTTGAATTCGCTTTTAATATTTTACTGAGAAGGTTAACGTTGGAGGACCGTTTAAGAAGAAAGTGAATCAGAAATAAACTTTTTAAGCTGGTGGATGATGCTGGTTTCTATCTTGATTGATTTCTATCAAATAGATGATTTAATCGTGATCGGTTCGGAATTTGATTAAACTCAACATATAAACCCATTCCACAAATATGTGACCATTTATTATTATTTATTGGTGAAACATGATTACCAAGGTCCCTATGAAGAAGTTCAGGTTACCTGAGGTCGCATAGTGCTGAAAATTAGGTGATATCACTGGTTATTTATCACAATTAAATACACATTCCCTCTATCTTTTCTTTAGACTTTAGCACATTGGTTGCCTGTGTCTTACTCATACATCTAACACTTCAGTTGCATTTCAGAATTTTCAATCTTGGTGTTTACTGTTTTGAAGTGGTACTATTGCATCGTTTCCTAGATTGTTGACTTTGATTCACTCCTTGGTTCGTCATTGTAGCGAGTTAGTTTTTAGTTGTATAAGAATTTTTCCACCTGTTTTTTTTTGCGACTGAAGGAGCTGAGACCGATTACCATCAATGGAACTCGCTAATTCTAATGATCTTACTAGATTGACTGTCTCTTGATCAATATATGTAACCGACTTCACCAACTATCAAAATGTAGCTGAGCTGATTTAAAAACTTCAGAATCATTTAGTTGGTTTAGGACTGAACTCATTATTTGCACGCCCAGATTTGATTGCATAACCACCTCTTGTGATATACAAAATTTTCTCACCCATTCCAAACCACACATCCCATTATCATAAATTGTGTGTTTGCATTTGCATACTAATCATATGTATTCCCAGGTTAATGGGATTTTTATTTTTAAGTTAGTATTTTACAAGGAGTGATATCATTTGGAGAACCATTGAAAACCTGAGAGGAATAAAAATATGATTTTTCCTAGTATGGGATTCCTCAGTAGCACACACTCACAATCCCACCAGAGATCAAACTCAGGGCCTTCGGGTTTCATAGCGAACATGTTAACCACTGGATCAGGGCTCAATGGTCCACAAGACGAAACAGCTGTTTAGTGCTCCCAGGTTTTCAATGGTTCTCCAACTGATGTCAGTCCGTGATGAATACTGCTTTAAAAATAAAAATAAAATCCCCAATAATCTCAGAGCAAATTACTGCATAGTGCTCGTTTGTAAAATACTTCGTGATGGATATCCCAAAGTTCTAACAAGAGGCCATGACGTGTAAGATCAGCCAGTTGGAAGGGGAGCGGGTGCCAACTGAAGACCTTGATGGGTTGTCGCGCTATGTCGTGAATTGACAGAAAAAAGAAACTGGACCAGTGACTGAACGGTTAGCGCGAGACCTGAAGGTCCTGAGTCCGTTCCCTAGCGGCGTCGTGGGTGCGTACTCCTGAAGACAACGAGGCAGCTGTCCAATGTTCCTAGGTTTTCAATAGTTCTCTAACTGTCTGTGATGAATACTACGTTATTAATTGTATATTTAGGTTGTATGCAGCTGGAAATCCTGTGAGACAAACTGACGTCATCTTATTCTGCAGATACTGTTCTTATTGCATCAATAAATTTCACAAAGCGACTAATTGTATGAAAAACTCAAGTTTATTCAGCTCCTTATAACACTCCAAGACGAGCAATCTATTTTCTAGATCATCTCGATAGGACTTTTTACTCCTATTGGTTGAAATGGGTTACTTGAACTACTGATATCAATCTCATTAACGTACATCGTATATATCTTCTGGCTTCCTTGTGATCATTGTAATTATCGAGTTGGTCACCACTGGGTTAAATCTAAGTTTTTCTTTCCCATCACATGGAAAATATTGCAAGCACTCGTCCTAAAAATATTTCCTTTGTCTGAAAATCGCATTTGGATTACTGATTGGAATATGCTTCTCATAATTATGACTCCAGGTTCATTATCACGAAGATCCTAGAGTGTATGCTACTGATAGACTGTACAAGAGAAGAACATATATTTCTAGTATCTCTTGCTTTCAGTCGTATTAGATGTCAACCTGATTGCACAAATCGAAGGTACTCGATGATTCAGCATACAAGTGACATAAGAGCCTTACACTACTATTCACTTACTGTACACCTTTAAAATCATCTTGATCACTTTCGAATTCAGTTGTGAAAATAAATTTCCTCCAACTTTTATATTTTTGTATTTTTTTAAAGATCTTATTTTACTATGGCGTCAAGACATGTGAAAGTTTAACCACAGTACTATTGTGCCAAATTTTTCTAACATATTCAAATTAGAGTTATTAATTTTCAATGAAATAAACATTTCCACTTTCATTTCCAGTCTCAAATTAATGCAATCACATATGGCTGCGAAACGTGCCCAAGGTCGACGTCCTACAACAGATTCTTCAAATTCTCAGTGGACTTCTCGTACAACGTTAGCCCCTGTAGTTGATTTAAAGCAACGTGTATCGCATGTAGATGGCTCATACAGGTAATGTGATCAGTTCCTTCCTTTAATTTCTATAGGGCTATAGAGGTAAACGTTTTATGATCTGAATGACATCCTAAATATTCTTAGGATTTTTCTTAAAACAAGTTAGAAGGTAATCCTGGCGTACTGTATGCGTTAATTCTGTTGTATCTTCGTTCAACTCTATTTTTTGTTAACTAAAAATTGTTCTATGAATCATATTTAGATTACTACTGAGTAATTGAATCAAATTATCAGCCTCTAGTAATGGTATATTCTCAATTTTTTTTCATAAGTTTCTTCCAAATCAGTCTGATGTATGCCGATATAAAACAGAAAAAACTTACGTTGGATTACTAAGCAAACTTTGATCTACTTTCTACGTGTATGTAGGTGTATTTTACGGTACATACGCCTAGCAGTGATGTAATTATGAATCTTCGTAATTTCGATACTAGCTTTATTAGAATGTATATCAATCAGAATATTTCTTTCGGATGGTATTTTTTATGGTTACACTTTTGCATTTTTCACTACACTAAATAAAAACATAGACCTTTTCATCTTAACTCCGTACTAGTTATTTTCAGAATACTATTCTGAGCATTTCTAGAGAATATGTATTTTGATCTTTAAGAGGAATCTGAACTTTTTTTTAGTTGTGATGTTACGGCTTTCAGTCTCCGTTCGTTGATTGGATCGATTACTATTAGGATTTGTTACTCCCCACGCAAGTGTGTCGGTATTTCTGCTAATTCCAGTTTGATACCCAATTCTGTCAACAGTTCGCCACTAAATTTTGTTGGTTTGATCGTTTCAAAAGATTGTGTTGATTATACACCGTCGTATAACAATTCGTGATAAATGTGAATAATTAATTGCTTCTTCACTGAAGTGATCATCTATGTTACTTATGTGTGGGACAGTCAGGCTGAAATAATCTCTACTCCACACGTTCGTATTCAATGACTTGATTGGTTATTTTGAGAACAAATTAAGTTTCATAACAGATGACTGTAACAGTTTCTGTACTTCGGAAACGTGTTTTAAAATCCTAGCCCTATCTGGTAATAGTGACTTAAAGCTACCCTAGCAACTGCTGAAATGATCAATCAGACTTCGGTACTTCGCTTGAAATATACTTTTCCATAAAATAAAGGAATATAATTGGCTGTTTCATCAGTTGCTAAGATGGCCTTTGAAGTCACCCATCTGTTAAACTCAACATACTCATGACTTGTTTTTTTTATTGAGATTGAGATGACTTTATTTCGGCTATGGGGATAGAGAGAAATGACTGGTCTGGAGAGGGAGCAGTCAAAATGTACTTTGTGTTATCACGTCATAGATAGACAGACGGTGGATCAACCAATCAATAGGTTTATTTTAAACAACCAACTGTCTATATGTTAGCTATATTTTCTTTTGTTTTGGTCTTCGGTCTTTCGACTCCAATACGCGTTTCTACACATCCATCGTGTCTTCTCCATCAATGAGTCGGGTCTGAAATCAACTAGGAATTTGTTGAACGTTGGTGGCTGACACTCGATATCCGTGCATCGTTAGCGACCATAGCACATAGCAGTTTCGAACAGTTTCATAACAGTTCCTTTGCGACTCTGACCAGGTTTTTTTTGATCAATTTAATTTCTCAAACATCTTTTTTTGTGGGCATCTTACAAAAAAGCTGTATTAGGTTCAAGATGCTGAATACTTTTTAACTATGGTAACATTGGTGTAATCATATCAAAACATAGGTAGAGTTGCCATTCTTAGGTGGCCTACAAAAAGTACATATGTATTTAGACTTCATTACTATAGATGTAGTTCCTCTAACTGTTAACGTTACACAACTATACTTTCGTATACTAATACTGTAGTAACATTAATCCTTAGAATAGTAGCTAATGCCTCCTCCACCCTTAAAAACGCCAATTAAATTTTTTAAACTCTAGTTAGCGTAATTATGTCTTCCACTACTCGTTAGATTCAATAATAGTTGTTTAAAAATGCTTAATACCTCATGTGGTGAAAAATGTTTTTTCTCTCATTGCTGTGCTAGTTGTGGCTAATGTTTACCTGTATATGTATATTCATCTTTACTGAAAAATCTACATCATTAAGTCCGTGTTCGTATACTGTCTTTGTGTGTGTATTTCTGGAATTGTGATTCTCCTTCCCTCTCACGTTTTAACTGTACATGACTTTCATTTTGTACTTATCATTCTATTTCTGTTTATATCCTTGAATCACTGCATTTTGTGCGAAGTTATAAGTGAATATTTTGCGCGTAGCTTACACTCAGGGTAGTCGGTCAGAGTCTTTTATACCAGCTGCTATTCCTGTTATTTTACTGGAACATTGTTTCTACTTCCTATTACTCAAAATCCAATGTTATAATTTTGTTAAACTAAGAACTATGTTCAAAGGTAAAGAGATTTAGATTTGCCAAGTTTCTCAACGTAAGAATGAATAAAGAAAAGAGAAATGATCTTAGCAATTAAGTGCACCTTTGTGCAGTTGGTAATAAGCCATACCTATTGTGTGAGGGCTAATGATGCTACTCGACTGCGCAGACTTTGGTAGGTGGAACGGTGTTCTAATCTATGACCCACTAGCTGAAAGCCGCCTAGTAAATCAATGACCCACAGCTCCTAAGAAAGAAAGAAAGTATAAGCGTACAAACAATAATAAACTTCAGTCGTTTTTGTCCTTCTGTATAACAAAAGTGTATTTCTCATCAGTATATAGGTTTGTGCAAGTTTACTGGGTTTCAAAATCGACATTTTTCCAACTTTTACCTATGTGAAGTTTTAGTGTCTTTTGATACAGTTGTTGCCTATTCGTTTATCGAAAGTCGATCGAATATTTCTTCTACTTATCTATTATACACTGCAATGTAGTAATCATTTCGTTGCTTATTCAGCAGTTCCACCGAATGGTAACAATGTATCCAAGATATTAATGTTGGAGTCTTAAGGACGACTTTAAAGGCCACCCTAGCAAGTGTCGAGATAACCAATTACTTTTCATTGTTTTCTAAAAACTTCGTTTCTAGTCAGAATACCATAACCTGATTGATTATTCCACCAGTTTGTGAAGTGGCCTTTAAAATTACCCATTAAGTACATTAGGCTGCAACTTTATTGACACAATATGTACTAAGTGTAACATTTTGGACAGACCCTGAAATCGGTTACATACATGAATGACTTTAAAATTCACTCTGGCAACTGATGAAATAACCAATCAGGTTCCAGTATTTTGGGTGACAACGTAATTGTTTTAAAAATGAGAAAAAAACACGATTGTTTATCTCGTTAGTTGCTATGGTGGCCTTTAAAGTCGCTCGTACTCAACATATTATAGTATTACCAGTGGTTCAAAAGTCTATTTAAAGAAGTAACTGAAACGTTTTAAAAATGGAGCTCTTATTTCTTGTTGTCAAAAGTAATCATATATATATTTCCAGTGTAGTGCTGGTTTGGTCAAAAGTTAGCTCAGTATTGGCATATCATACAAGTGTGTCATACAGAAACAGCTATTTTGATTGTGATCTGTTCACTATGCATGTCTTATTGACATTGAAAGTGGTATAAGAGTAATAACTGCTTAAGTTGACTTGTAAGTTGCATATTATCAATTAGCAGACTGCATAAGTTAGTTTTGATAAACGTTTTATTCACCTTTGGGTGCATAGTTCATGGTATCAGATAAATTATTTTAATTTCATCCTGATGACTGATATTCAAGAGAGTAGTCTTTGACAAAAGAGTAACTATATTTTAAGTGTTGTTCAACAGGAGAGTGATCTTAGACATGACAACTACTTTTATTTTCCATGCTGACAAAAGGTAACCAGTTGAATGTCAAATATATCTCTTCTTAATCATATTTTGTCTATATTGCTGGAGACAGTCGCTATTCTCCTATGGTCTATGTTGACTTACTTTGACTGCAAAAATGTACTTGGAAATACGCAAATGTTTTATTCATACGCTTTTTCGAAATTAGTGCTTCTCCTGTTTTCTTCACCCTACTTCTGAACCGTGAAACGATATTAGCTGCATTCACCAATTAGTCCAGTGAGATAGCTTAACATTAAAAAAATACTTCGTCTTATACTTATTTAAGCAGTTGTTGACCATGGTGACAACGCAACATATAAATAATACTGTATCACTGTGCGATATCAAATAATCTTATCTAGTATGGAACTACACTAAACCATAATGCTCAAGTTGTAGATTCACAGTAAGGAGGTAACCGAGCATTTATCTGAATTGGCCTATTGGAAAATACCCATTTCAGTTGACTATGACCATGATCCCTGCTAACAACGTAGATGTAAATTAATTAAAAGTCTTCCTAATGACCGCCAACAGTGGCTGTTAGCAAAAATGAAGAAGACATTGTTACTGTCAGTCATCAGTAGTTATTCAAGCTCATTTAGGGAGACGGGCTCAATAAACTTCATTAGTAAGACTATCGTTGAGATGGATAACTCCATGAGTCTCTCTCAACAAATTGCTGAAAAGTTGAGTAGGAGCCTTTGTTGAAAACTGCAACTTCCCTACAATCACTTTTCAACCTCATTGTGAACAGGATGTGGATGTCAGTTCTCTGATCCTCACCAAATTTGAAAGGATTCTTTCAACCTGAAGGTGAAGTGAGACAGCAGGATCCGTCAGTTTTTTTTGCAAAGACTAAACTTTGACAGTTAATAATTAGAGCAAGTAAGGTATTTGCTTCCGTATGAAAATGGATATAGTCATCATACTGGTCTAGATCACCATTCATTTCATTTTGTAGGGAAAAGACTTCCTGTGACAACCACAGAAGAATCAGTTTGACTAACAAGGTATCTCAGATTCTGGGATTCGTAGTCACTTGATACATTTTTTTGCTAATATAAAAGTAAAACTTGGTTACTGTGGTATAGGATAATCTCATATGAGTTTGTTTGATATTTCACTGAGTAAAACAATATTGTTTTGCTGAATAATATTTTTAATAACTTA